TTCTCCTGCTTTCTTGAAACATTTTTTGTCATTTGGTTTTACTTATTTATGTCGATTGCAAAATGCTGCTGCAACGAATACAAGTTCTATACAATATACAACCAACATACAATACTAGTTACGTTGGCCCATCTATGGTTACGCCTGTGTTCTACCATCAACATAATTGACAGTTGACAATGACAAAATGTTTCAACCTTTAAATGTAAAATACCCTAAAATAAAAAGTCCTTTTCACGTTACGGGCACAACAAGGTATGCAAATGGCATGAAAGTAGATAGGAAAAACCAAAAAGCAAACTAAAAAACAGCCTCTTTATGTGACCCGATTTCTTATGTCATTAGTGTCAATTTTATTTTGCCAAGTTGGTTGCACTTCCCTTGTATAGAAGTCCTCTATTCAAAAAAATGTGACATTCATGTATATAATTCAGTTGATCATCAATCAATCTTAACTATCAAAACATAAGCCTTTTTCGATTTAGCTCCAATGAACTGGAGTGGGGTAGAATGCTTGTCAATAGACTTGATGTGCGACTCTATGGGCGAAGATAGGTTATTTTTTATCTCACTCGGGAGTATTTAAAATAGCCAGTTTCTATTTCACATTGGCTGCGTTCATCCGCGCCACATGCTACCTGATCGATCTGGTAGCGCTCTCGAGTGGCACGTATGAACGGTGTATTTTAACATTTCGCTCAAGGAGCGGCCGCCATTAAAAGTAGCGCATTTTATTTACGTCTGATCGGTGATCACTGATCTGTCTTATGCACTTACGTCCACGGTTTGCTTGGTGACTAGTAGGGTTATATTAGCATATTAGCAATTGAAAAATAAACAAACAAATCTTCAACCAGAGACATTCAACTCAAAAGTAAAATGAATAAACCAAAATCAAATGTCACTTTTAAACATGGTTCATCCGTGCATAAAGATCGATCAGGTAGCGTAAGTGATCGCTACTTTTGTAGCGCTCCTTGAAAAGGCGCGGATGAACGCAGCCATTGTTATTGTCTGATCCACCAGCTTGTGGATTGAACAATAACAATGTGAAACAGAAAATGGTTATTATAAATAGTCCCGAGTGAGATGAACAATAAAAATGGCTGCGCCCATCGAGTCGCACCTTGTTCTAAATAGTACAACATGTACATTGGCATTCTACCCCCCTCCAGTTCATTGTTTAGCTCGCGCGAGCGGTTCCGGTTGACAAATAAATGACAGCGGTCCTACTAAAATTTGACAGCGGTTGTAATTTGTGACGTAATCTATGACGTTTCTCGAAATGTAAATAGAAAATAGTTGGTTGCACGGTTGGTTGCGAATTTGTATTGACAGTTTGTTGTTATTTTTTGTGTTAGCTATTTTAAATTAATATAACACTGTTAGAAAAACATGAAGAAGGACAAAATAAAAACAGAAAGGCACTTTTTAAAGCACAGTTAAAAATACATACTTCAGTTTTCAAAAGAAAGAGTGTTACTTTTGTCCTCAAACAAATACTTGTTCAATGTTTTGTAAAGGAAAGACCTTTGGAAAGCCTCCAATAATATCAGAAGCTGTTGAAGATGTGCAAATTCACATGGTTTAAATTCCCAAGGTGCAAATTCCCAATACATCAGTGAGTAATATAAGTTATAAAAGTAAATTTAAAAAACCGATTCTAAAAATGAAGAACGCTGTTTTTTTATGGATCTCATCATCAGATCTTGACCACATTTAAAAAGGACCAAACTAGAGGTACCCCCTTTCTAACAGAGAAGAAATTGTAGAAATCGGACAACGTGGTAAATACTACTGAACATACATAAAAAAATATTCTAATGAATTGAGAATCACTCCACTCCTTTTTTGAAGTCTGTTAAAAAAATAGCAGGTAGGAACAGCATTTCGGAGACTGACTCTTGTACAAGTTAAAAACTCTAATCATCATTGTTCTAGGTATGTTGGCAGGAACTGGCCATAAGTAATGATTATGTTAAAAGTATGGAATGTGGTGGATTGTTGAATTCAAAATCGTTTACATGATGTTTATGTACTGGAGTTATATTAAATACAAATAATAAGTGAGGAGAAACTGTTCAAAAGTATGAAAAGAAGGGTGGTGAACATTTTGAACAGATACTGATATCCATCACCGATTATCATTCAACAGCCTTGGTCCCATTTTAACATAGACTGGGTGAAAATATCCTTTTAAATAAATTAGTTGATATACTTTTATAATTTAGTATAAATAATAAAAGAAACTTAAAACTTTATTTGTTTATTTCCATTGTTCAGGTTCCTAGTAAAATTCTGTAATTGTTAGAATAAGTTTAATTTGTATCTAATTTGTAATTACTAGTTTGAGCTGCAGTTAACTGTACAACTTTGTAAGTTATTTTGTCATGCATATATATGATTATCACCCGATAATGTTCCCAATATAATAATTTACTGTATTTTCACAGTGCATCCCCATTATGGTATGCATTGTCTAACTAGTTTCAAAATAAGTCAATATTGTAAATCACACTAATTTCATTATCTTTTATTTGGACTTTAAGCTATGATACTCAAACTGAAATTTTTAATATTACAAAAGTGACTAGATTTTTTTTGAGAGGAAATGGAGAAATTTTAAATGCAATTTTGAAAATACTTTTATTAAACTAACTACACTTAAACATTTGAAAAAACGTACGAACTTAAAAAATATTTTTGATATTACGGATACTTCTCAAATGTATGAACTTTTTTTAAAAAATCTCTATCCGTCTTAGAACTCTTGGCAAGTTTTATCAATACTGAATTTCACCACCAAAATATCTTTTAGGATTTCCACACCTAGCTGCAATTTTTCTGTAGTCTAATTTCTTATACTAAGGGCAATGTATTCTTTAAGTTTTTTTTTTTCTATATTAATATTAAGCCACTGATTTCCTGTGCCACCTCCGTTAAACATAGTTATTTTTTCTTATGTATTTAATGTATCAAAGGGGGGTACTTGTCATGAATGAGGGCCTCTGTCCCTCTCAATGGGGGACCTATGGTCACTTTAAACATTACAGAACAGATGGTCACAATTTTTAATTATAATGAATATCTAATTATTCAGCATTGTTGCTGAAAATCCAAAAGGTTTAATTATTTGTAAAGAGCTTTCTTAAAAAAATCACTTATTATTTTGATTTGACCACAGCACAGATCATTAAATTTTGACACCTGAAATTCGAAATCGAATCGTGGATAAATAAATAAAGGATAGAATTATAATGTGCGATAAAGATGAACATATACCAGCTCTTCGAACCACCTGCGAAGGCCGGTTTCGTTTGGTTCATGTTCCGTGCATGTTGCGAGCGGTTGCGGTTGGTATATGACGTCATAGTTTCTAAATCGAAATCGAGTGGTTCCGATTTTGTCAGCGACCGCGAGGGACCACTCTAAATCGAAAACACCTATAAAAACAACATACTACCACAGTTTATAACTAAAGAATCAGTTCGCTCACTCTGCGTCGGCACTTTTGATCTCAATGTTCCAGTTTATACACTGCGCAACTCGGATTTGTATCCCTGGCGCATACATGAGGCGAGTTCGGATAGTCAGGGGCTGGAGCGGGACAAATTTTAGGGTGCTTTTAAATGACATTTAAGCGTGTTAAACTGTCACTAATCGGACTAAACCGAACGCTAAAAGGGTCGTTTGGAGTTAAAAGTGTTAAAGGAGTTAAAGGAACTTGGCAGACCGAACGCACATATAATCAAATCATAACCAATACAATATATAACAACCGCCTACTATATTCAAACAGCAGTCTTCTGCGCATCCTAAATTTGTATCCCTGGAGTGGATGTAATTTTGGAACATTCAACTGGTCCAAGTGAGCTAACTGATTCTGTAGCAATAAACTGTGATACTACTTAGATACTATAATATCATGTACAGGATGTTACAAATATAGTAGGGATATAGGAAATATTATTTTATACCTAACAACATTTTTTATTTATTGATAGTTGTAGGTAATATCTATTCAAAATTCGAAGTAATGGTTATGACGTAGCGGTGTTCTTCTAATTGTAATCGGACAATATATGAGTGATTCTCGAATAACTGTGATTTTTTATGTCCAGTATTTTATTTATCGTTTAGCCTAAGTTTTCCTCATCAAAAAGTTATTAATATAAATTTGGAGGTATTTTACAACCGACATTATGAATTAGATCATAAACCTTCACAATTTTTTTTAAGCTGCAATAAATATACTCGAAATAGTACCGTGGCATGTCCGTTTCTCATTTTTGAAATTAAATATAAATATTTCTATCAAAATTCATTTTTTAATATAAAATGTACCCCTCTTACTACAATTTAACGCATATTGCATTGCATTTTATTGTAATTTTAAACCAATCTTTCGATTGGTAAAAAAAAATAATAATTTATATGTTAGTACCGTGGAAATAATGTCAGTCCGTGGCATTAAAATTTTGAAATTTTCTCAGTTTTCGTTGTGTTGTAGCTGTAGTAGAACCACTTTACAGGCTTATTTCTGTGCATAAATAGAAAACAAAAACGCATAAAACATCTGTAATTTTAGAAAAATTTAAAATGTAAAAATCGAAGTTAGGTACACGAGAATCATCCATATATTCGTTCAAATGAACGCAACGGTATACTTTTTCGTTTTGTAGTCTGTGCGTAGGCTTTTATAATTATTCATTTAATATTTTTTCATCAAACAAAGGCTCAAGAAATGTTACTGGAACAAAAAGAGATTGATAAAATTCTTTTTATCCCTATTTTGTTTTTAAAGATATTTTACGAGGATTAATTTTAATATTAGCTAATATCCATGTGGGTGTAGAAAAAAAATATAAATATGGATCTGCGTCTCGAATACGATGACTTCACCGGGTTCCCGAAAATACGGAAATATAAGTTAAATGTTTTTTCAGTGTTTTCTATGTTTAATAAAATTTGTTAAGTACTAAAATGACAGGAGGCCATTTCAGTTTTATAAAGAAGATAGTTGGAATACGGAATAGAAGAAGAATTTGGTTAGAATTAGTTTACGTAACTTATTCGTCTTGGTTTCTCTTTAGTAGTTTAAATTAAAAAGCTCTAGGAATCTTAAAAATATGTTCAGAACTACAGCTGTACGAGCTCAATCACTTTTGAGAACGGCCCTTGTTGCAGCCAGACCAAATGGAGCAGCAACCACAAGGTAAGACAATATACACCCATGTTATGGTAGATCATTTTAACATCCTTTTCTACATAGATTGATGTCGAGCCACAGTACTGAAACTGATGAACAATTCGACAGCAGATACGAGAATTTCTTCAACAAAAAGGATATTGATGGTTGGGAAATCAGAAGAGGTATCAACGATTTGTGGGGCCACGATCTTGTTCCCGAGCCAAAAATTCTTATTGCTGCACTAAAAGCGTGTCGTAGAGTAAACGACTTCGCCCTGGCAGTCAGGATTTTGGAAGCCATTAAAGACAAATGTGGTAGCAAAGTGAATGAAATTTATCCCTACCTGCTACAGGAATTGCAACCCACTTTAAAAGAATTAGGACTTAGCACACCTGAGGAGCTTGGTTTTGACAAACCAGAATTGCATGTAGAGTCTGTTTTCCACATGTAATTATGTAATCTAGGTATTTTATGTTCATTAAATGTAGCTTCTCTTAAATCTAAGACAATTTAAATAAATAATAAAAAAATATATGAATAGTCATTTATTAAGATTGTGTTAATAATTGGTTATGATTTTCTATTATGTTAACACATGTGTCTTTAAACTATCGGGTTGGCAGGTGAAAAAATACTTTGGACCTTTGAGCCATTTCCTTGTGATTTCAAATGAAAAACGAAGTATCAATATCCTTTATTTTTTAAAATGAAAACACTTTGTAAAACATGAAATTTAGAGAAAAATTACTAAAAAAAAATCTTTAAAATAATACAATAATTTTTTAATGAATTTTTCACATTATAATCCTTATCCCTACTGTCTTGAAAGTTTGTAAATGGAAATATCAATTTATTCAGCTTTTTTTTTAACTCTAGCAAGAACAAAAAAAATGTCTCTTTTTTGACAGTTTTTAATGGCAATTCGGTTCTTTCGTTCATCCCACTGGTGTAGGAATGAACTACACCAACCCACACCATAACTTTCATTTGGCCCAGTATGAAATCCACTACACCTTCATGTCGCTGATGTGATGTCCACTGGTGGATAGGTTCTCCACCAGCTATTTACTGGGAGTGAATTACACTCAACATGTGTATCAGGAATAAGGAAGAAGTAAACTAGGTAAATAAGGTGGTGTAATTTACACTGGTGGACACTGCACCAACAGCGAATGAAAGAACCTATTATGTCTTGCTCCATTTGAAATTTCAAAATTGACTGTATAACTGTATAAGTTTGTATATGTTCTATACAGCGCCTGCTAGACCAAACCTTTGGTTCTACTTTACTTGTAATGAAGTAAATGGTGTTTACATGTACAGAAGAGGAAAGGATGTGGTATCAATGTTGCCTAGTTACAGGTTAATAGCATACTACATTGATACTGTTTGTTTCTTTTCCTGCATGTGAGAACCATTTATTATTCACTCCAATACAAGAAAAGCAGGACTGAAAGTTTAATTTTGCCTGCACTGTATGTGGGCCATTGTGATTAGTCAACCCTTTTACAGTGGCTGCAGTTTAAAACTAATAGTATAGAGCTGTAGTAAGCATATAGCAGAAGTAAAAGTTGGAAAGGCTTTTGCCAGTTCTCCCTCTTTACAAAATTATTTTATAGATGTTAATAACAATTTAGAGTAAATAGTTTAATAATAAATTGTGAGTAGCAGTTGAAATTTTGTAAAATTATGATTTGAATATTATAATACATGTTTAATAATTATTTATAGTCCATAAATACATGTGATTGTCCGGTTCCGCCGATATCAATTTAAAATTACTTATTCAATGAAACGACACTGGCAGGTAAACATTACTGCGAAATTCTCGAAGCCGTCCGACGTGGTTTGACGTTTATCCCCTCTCTACCTACCAAAAGCGTTTCCAACTTTTACTTTCGCATTACTACAGTTTTGCACACTACAGTTTTGTTGGACCGATTTTTTTTGTTATGGCTTTTAATAGACCTATCCTGCTATTGATGATATTTATTACTCATGTACCAATCCTTCTTTTAAAATCATTAAAATTGTTGTTTCCTACCCTAGGTTCCAATTACACATCCGCAAATGTCATTTTGTTTTTGCGTTTTTGATAGTGAATATTTGCATTTTAACTTTTATTATTGGTAGGAAGCCAGTGACATTTTTAGGTGTGTTATTTGCGAAAGACAAAATTACAAATATTCTTACCTTGTAGAACATGGAAATACTTTGCTCGATGGTCCTCGACAACGACGACTCAAAAAAGCATGTGTTGCAAAATGCTAGGGTAAAAACACAAGCTTGAAACTTTCAGATATTATCAAAAGTTAATGTAAAAAAGTTCGCTGCCACCATCTCGAAATTCGGCTTACAGTACCTTCTTGCTTGCTGACATGGCTTTCCACCTCCAGATCGATTACAGCCAACCCAATAGTTGTAGTTAGGGCGAGGATAAGAGAGAGATAGAAAATAAGTTGTTTGGAAAATTACTAGATTCAAATAAGGCCCCGCGCTTTTTTCGTGCATGAGTATTGCAGAATGGTCGAATAACGGGAAAGGTGGATTGAAAAATGAACATTAACAGACAGAGATACAATGAGGTTTAGCCACTTCTAAATGTGATGGTTTATTCAAAGTTGCACCAGCCCAAAGTCATTTAGGTAGGAGAATAGTATTATTTTTTTTATTCAACTATATATTAATCGCTTCCTGTCATTATAAAAGGTAAGATCTATCATTCTTAGGCTTGTTCCAGATTTTAATATCGCAGTGGTATTATTGCTGAAAGAATATGCTACACACAAAGGACAGGAATATACATAGATCAGGGGTTTTGGGGATATACCTTACAATAGCTTTGTTCGGCTTACTTTTGGGGACGGTTTAAAATCGTTATAATCATGCGCATTTAAATTTACGTATTCGGGTTTCTCCAAATCTAGTCCTAGGACACTCTAGGATTGACTGTTTCGTGTGTAATTTAGTGCGCAACTAATTTCACGCATTTCTGAAACGTTATAAAATTGGTAAGCCGAACAAAGCTAATGAGTTGAACAAGGTTAAGGTTAGGAACATGCACATAACAAGCAGAAACTGCTGCTGTTGGCGAGCAATGACACGAGTTTCCCTCTGCTCTCTACTACATACCCCAGTATTACATACGCACATGTATACAGAGATTGATGCACACTAACGAGTGAAAAAGGTGTATATCCAACGACGAACAACTACTAGACTAATTTTGTTTATAAAAATCGAATTACAAGCATTCACGTTGTTATCCACGTACCCAGACAGCACACCAAATCCTTTGGATATCTATTGAACATCCCAATATCCACTGAATGTCCAGTCCATGGTGGATATCTATTTTATATTCATGAGATGTAATTTATAGACATGCAAATGTCCATAAATAATAGTAATTATATAGCAAATTATTAAAAAATTAGGCCATTGTGCTCGCCATTGTGGCTAATAGTACCGTTCAGATATTTAAAATTAATTTTTTTAAGGTGTATTCAATATATCCCATGGACATCCACTAAATAATCAAAGTCTAGGCGCGAACGCAAACCACCGTGGATATCCACTAGATGTAATTTTTGATTTTGCTTACTAAGTATAGATGGCGATACCACTTTCGCATCTACTCATGCTTAATCCGCCGTAATTGAGTTCGATCGAAATTTGTTTCCCTATCAGACTTCATTAGAGACTGGAGTCGAGAATTTCCATTTTTTGCTGAAGAATCCTAATAAAAATAACTTTCTCCTTGGTGGGCAAAATCAAAGGCAGAGTGTTGAAAATATTTTGAGTGTTGAAAATATTTTTTCCGCCTACCTCTATCCAAAGTATACATTTTCTGGCCTCATTGCAGGGAGGAAAAGTAAAAGTGACGTCATGGTATATCATAAATGAAATAGCTTATACGGCATTGACGACCTAAACTATATTCTATTATATAAGTATAAATTTTACCGTTTATTTATAGAACACCCTGTATTTTGCAAAATAGTAAAAACCAGTAAATTGTTATTTTAATTTAACGATTTTTACATTAATAATTTGACTTCAATTCATAGATTCATCCGATTTTCGAATTTAGGACAGAAATATTATAGCATGCTATGGTCGATTGACAGATCAGTTTCAAAGTGTGTTACGCTATAATATATCTACAAACTATAAAATAATATTTAAAAAATGAGTGATTTAAGCGACTTTAAAGATATAATTAATACACCACCGGATATTTTGGAACAGGTTAATGCAACAGTACAATCTCCATTACCCCAAAAATCTAAAGAAAAATACGAAAAACAGTATTTACATTTCAAGCAATGCGCCGAAGAAAATTATTTAAAAATGACTTGTTATTTGAGGGAGGCGGAAAAATCATATGTATTACTTGGGAGTAAAGTGCCTTTTCCTCCCTTGGATGTTTACTGCCCTCCGCTTCGCGTTGGGCAGTAAACTTCATCCTACGGGAGGAAAAGTGGCACTTTCCTCCCTAGTAATACAAATAGCTATTTCTCTGCTATTTTCTTTCGACGTTATTCAATAAACATTGGTTACTTTTATGAATCTCTACTAAAGATACCCATAAAATATTTTGCTGAATATCCAAATTCTTCTATATCCTGGGATATAGACGGACATTTGGTTGGATATCCATATTGGATATCCACAAAATATATTCTGTGGATATCTCTGGGATTTCTCGTATTGTCTGGAAGATACCCATTAGATATTTTGCTGGATAATCCATAGGATATCTTCTATATTCTGGATATAGACGGACATTTGGATATCCATATTTCTGATTTCCTGTGGATATATTGGATATCCACAAGATGTGGATATCTCTGGGATTTGGTGTGTTGTCTGGGTAGTTGTCTAATTATTATGAGAGTATGGGAGAGTCTTGTTATAATTCAGAATTGACCTAATAAGAAAGATTCCGCACACAAACTTTGTTTAGGCGGGTCTTAAAAATTTGTTAAAAAAGGAAATTATATAAATGAATAAATTTGATTAGATGAAGATTCTAAAACGCACAAAAGGCTTTCAAAATTACATTAAGGAAATACATTTACATTTTTAATGTCAGTTATTATCAGTTGAATGTACTTTTCTCGTTGCAACTATCTTGGAGTTGAAGGTGCACGAGTTCCAGGAAAGTACGTAATTTATTTTGAAGTGTGACAATGGTGTAAAGCAAGCGTCGTAGTCGAAAGTACTGATTTATTGATTAAACGCGTGCTTACCTTTCAGATAAACAAATTCGTACAAACCATCCCCACTCAATTTAGCAGCCGTTTCGCTCGTTCTAAAGCGACAGCTCTGTTTGCCTAATATAAAACACAATCTGAATGCTTGCAAATAAATTAGGGCTTAATTATGAATGAATGGATTCGTCTAGTAGTTTTTTATCGTTGTGCATAACTGTTATGTACATGTTCCTATTATACCTTGTTCAAGTTACTGTAAAGGGTCCCCCAGGTCAGTGCGATTGTTCGCCACAATTCACGCCTCACATAGCGACATACCTATACATATTCGGACTAGCAGGAATTTTATCGCTTTAGGGTGAGATTACAGAACGTCTGCAACTTTGCAGATCTGCAAATATGGCGGACTTACAAATGCAAGTATTCCAAAAAATATCTGCAAATTCGCAATATTTATTGTGGTTTATTACCCCCAACAACACTAAACCCAAATTTGGAATACGAAAACTTGATACTTGCATGTGTAAGTCAGTCATATTTGCAGATTTTCAAAGTTGCCGCCATATTTGCAGATCTGTAATCTCACCCTTAAATTATATGCTATTATTGTACATGATGTCCCACTATACAGTAACACATTTTAACAGCTTATAACTCGAAAATGAAAATAGATATTGACGTGTAGTTTTCGTTAAAATTCTTACATTTAATTCAAGTTTTTGTTGACATAGTTGCCAAATGTATATTTTTTCTCGAAATTACCGAAAAAAATGGAATTTTTTACATTGTCTATTAATACATTGTGTGTGTGTGTGTGTGTGTGTGGGTGCGTGCGTGTATGTGTGTGTGTGTGTGTGTGTGTGTGTGTGTGTGTGTGTGTGTGTGTGTGTGTGTGTGTGTGTGTGTGTGTGTGTGTGTGTGTGTGTGTGTGTGTGTGTGTGTGTGTGTGTGTGTGTGTGTGTGTGTGTGTGTGTGTGTGTGTGTGTGTGTGTGTGTGTGTGTGTGTGTGTGTGTGTGTGTGTGTGTGTGTGTGTGTGTGTGTGTGTGTGTGTGTGTGTGTGTGTGTGTGTGTGTGTGTGTGTGTGTGTGTGTGTGTGTGTGTGTGTGTGTGTGTGTGTGTGTGTGTGTGTGTGTGTGTGTGTGTGTGTGTGTGTGTGTGTGTGTGTGTGTGTGTGTGTGTGTGTGTGTGTGTGTGTGTGTGTGTGTGTGTGTGTGTGTGTGTGTGTGTGTGTGTGTGTGTGTGTGTGTGTGTGTGTGTGTGTGTGTGTGTGTGTGTGTGTGTGTGTGTGTGTGTGTGTGTGTGTGTGTGTGTGTGTGTGTGTGTGTGTGTGTGTGTGTGTGTGTGTG